CTCTCTCTCTCTATCTATAGATAGAGAGAGATCCGCTGAGTGAGCAACTCGACTGTGCCTTACATGTGCTCTACAGGCCGCACTCCATCTTTCTTCCCAACGAGCTTAGATAAAAAATTAAGAACCAATGAAGCTTTAACAAGACATATAACATATATATGATTACAACCAGAAGAGTCAATAAGAGAGAAAAAACTTATATATGAATTAAAAGGAAAAGGACTAATGATAATAAGAAAATACTATGAAAAAATAATAAAATATTTAGAAAATGTAACTGTTAAAGAAATAGATAATTATATAGAAAAAGAAGAAGATAATATTAAATTAAAAAGAAAAAGAAAACAAATAATAAATTTAATAAAATATTTAAAGGAACAACAAGAGGAAAATGAAGATAAAATGTGTAAAACATAATACTATACAAAAGCTTTAAAAGAAATTAAGAAAAGATAATGGATTTACCAGATTTAAAATTTGAAAAACAAGTAATAGAAAATTTTAGACTCCCAGTAGGATCTTATCAAATAAAAGGAGCTAATACAACTATGTTTCAACCATTAAGCTCATGGGGAGAATCAGATGGATTTCTTAATTATATGCAATTAAATTGGATAAATGTTTTTTTATGGCAAACTTATAAAAATATAAATCCACAAGATAAAATAGCTATAGAAGAATTACAACAGTTAAAGAAAAAAATACTAGATATCCAAAATAAATTAACAATACAATTTAAAGAATTAAAAGACATGATAGAAAATGTTAAAAATATAGATGAATAAATGATAAGAGAATTCCAAATAAAATCAGGAGAAATAATAAACCATGATAAAATTGGAATGATTATAGAGAAAATAGAAAAATTAAAAGAAAAAATAGAAGGAACTAAAAGGATTATATCAATAGAGGAAAGAATAAAAAAATTAGAATTAAAAATAGATGATATGTATGACAAATTATTTAAAGTACAAAAAGCTCAAAATATTAAACCAAAAGTTTAAAATGTCAATAAGTGAATACATTGAAGAACTAAAATTATTAATAAAAACATTAATAAATGATGTTCAAGATATGAAAAATGAAATAAAAGAAGTAAGAAATGATATAAATATATTAAAACTTGAAGTTAGAGAGTTAAAAGAAAATAATAAAAAAAAGATAAGAAAATAGACAAAAAACATATAGAAGAAGAAATGTTTAGAATAGGAAAGAGACATATTGAACCAGAAAATATAGTGATAGAAACAGAAAGTATGGATGATAAATTTAGAAAAAATATTTTACCTAAAATATTAGAAGAAGAAGAATCCATGGAAAAATTATTAGGAAATTAAAAATTGAAGAAAAACAAGATAATAAAGATGAATGAAGATTAGATTTACTTATAGATAATTTTGATCAATTAAGTCTAGAAGATTTAAGTGAATACAAAGTCTTAATGAATACTAGATAAGGACCTAATCCAGCTAAAACCTCTAAACAAGAATTACCAGATCCAAATGAAAGTTATGCATCTATATACAATAAATCATATAGACAATTTTATGATAAAGTAAGAAGTGGACAATCACCTGGAGGAAATAAATATAGAGACGGATTTGAATTAAATGATAATTATGATAAACCTATTAATCATGGAGAAACAAAATTAGATTTAGATTATAAAATGGATACTAAGAAAGTTTTATTAACTTGGACAGACTTAATGATATTATTTTTTTTATATAATAAAGATAATACATGGGAAAATATTGAAAGAAGAATAGAAGTTTTAATAGCATCTTTTGAAGTAGAGGTGTCAAAACGGACGGGCCGGCCAGACCCGTGAAAATCAGCCCTATTAACCCGGACCATGGGCCGACCCGTGACCCGAGCGGATGGTTCACGGGTCAAGGAGGTGTAACCTGTGGGCTTCGCGGGTTGCACCTTCACGAGCCGCCGTTAACTCACTAGCCCATGAATTTTTAAAAAAAAAAAAAAAATTAGAAAGAGGGAGGGGAGGAGAACGGTTGGGATGTATTTAAATTATAAATTATAATAAAAGTAGGTGACAACCTAGTTGGGATATACTTATACTATAAATATTTGATAATAGTAATTAGAAATGCATTTAATTATTATTTATTTAAGTTAAATTTAACTTTACAAA